CTCCTGAAAGATTGACCCATAATCCTCCTTCCTGGTGTGCCAGCAAGGACTGCAGTACTTAAGTCCTACTTGAGCATTGAAAATAGCCTTTAAGCGGCATTGAAGTGAAGCAAGGCAACCGTGCAGACCCCTTGGGTGGGAGGGAATTCTGCCATCTGTGCTCAGCACAGAAACCAGTCAGCACTGCATCTGTTCGGTGGATCACCTTCTGTTACTGTGCACAGCAGCTGAGCAAAGTACCGCTCCCTTTGGAGGCTCTTCAGTGGTGCATTTGAGGTGTATATACATATGTATCACCTAAGATAGTCCTCTGATCACACAGAACCTCTATCCCTGTTTTACAGTTTCAAAATGAAGCAGAAAAGAAGGTGGAACTTGGAGACAGAGAAGGCCACTGTAACAAAGAACCTGAAAGATCTCTGAAGGGAAGCCCATAGGAGAATAGATTCTTGAAGGCCTCTATTTTATTCAGTCTGCATTGAGCAACTTCAACTGTAAACCAGAAATTGATACACCAGGTCCCAGAACAACGAGATTATTAGAGAAAAACAAGTCATGGATAGTTAACAAGACCCTTCTGAGAATAAAACCATGGAAAATTACCTAGGATCTTCAGTCACTTGCCTGGAAAACAGGCAGAGAATGTGCTTGCTGCCTGCAAAAGGACCTAGAGGGAAAGGTCACAGTTTCACCCTTGCCCTGCACCAGTGCACACACTTCATTCTTGGTAGGGATGCTCATGCTGTCTCTCTGATTTACACTCTCCAGAGACTCCTGGAAGGAGTGGAGTCTCTGGAATCCTGTCCAAGCCAGCCCAAGCACTGTAAAGATTCCTACAACACGTAATCTAGGAATACTATCCCCTACCATGCCTTCAAAAGCCACAGACAACCTTCTACATGCAGACCCACCACTTAGGAATTCACGCTCTCTAAAAATAGAAATCTGTATGCCTGCAAGCATCTCTCACCAACACACATTAATTTCTGTCACTGGAAGTGTTGAGGAGCCTGCCAGTTGCAAGGCACACCACTATGAATTTACCCTGAAATAGGTTGAGAAGATATTGGAAAAATTTAAAAAAAAAAAAAAAAAAAAAAAAAGCCCCGGGTTCCCCACTGTTCCTGAGTATATAAGCTGAACTTCAAGCTCTGCACACCCTGTGCTGTTAGCTGTTACTTCCTTCAGGCAACTTCTGCAGGGGAGTTAATTCTGTTTCCAAATCACATCTTCAGGGCTCTTTTTGCATGTTCGCTGCCGGGCACCCAGCACATCAAGGCAAACATTCGGAATAAAGCCTTGGGTGGAAGACGCGTTTGTTGTTAGATGAACAAAGCCAATGTTACAAAAACAATGAATCATGCTTCAAGGTATAAAGCAACTGTCCTTTTTGGCCAAAGAAACATCCAGCCCCTCACTGTAGCCCCCCATGTGGATTCAGATACCTGGACAAGCGATACCGCTGCTGGCTGAAGCACTGATAAAGGCCAAAGGCTGGGAGCAGCCAGGAGACGGGATAAGCCATTGGTCTGACCTAGCAAATCACACCCTTTTGTTCAGCGCCTTTCCTGGGGATTTGAAACAGCTCTTCCCATTCTCTCTAAAACCAGATAAATAGAGAGTGATGGCTTTAGAGCTTTTCAAGTGACAAGAGCAGGAGGAAAGACAGGCCTATAGTAATAGGCTTTAACAAGGGTACTATCAGCTGACATAGGGACCCATATATTGGCTTATTGAGCAGATTCCTCCCACAAACAGTAACAATGGTTTGTTCCTTCACATACAACTCTAGTAAAGCTTTAGTACTTTCTATATCCATGTTCCTAACTCATTTAAAAAAAAAAAAGGCAGTAAAACCAAACCAACCCCACCACAACCAAAACAAAGCAAACACAAGCCTGAAAAGGCCAACCAACAACACAGGAAGGTTCCTTTAAGTTCAGCACTTGTCTGAATAATGTTTTGTGCTCAAATACAACCATGCTGACAAAAATGGATGCAATACTCCATGGTGCTCTACAGATGGATAAGGAATTCTCTCTGTGATGCTTCTTACAGTCCCTCTGTGCAATTCAACAGGTTTATCCAATATTTGTAGTTATCCTGTCTCACTCATAAAAACAGAAAAGGAAATGTGGAACAAACAACTTAAATACTACAGCTAGAATACAGAAAACTGAAGTTATTAATAGATTTTGGACAAAATAAATTAATTGTGTTTTGTAAAAGTGTAGAAGAAATAAAGTCAGCTCTAGACCAAAAGATGTGTGTTTGGGGACTTGGTGGGCTTTTTCCTTCTAAGACTCCAAAAAGAATTCTCCTCACTGTAAAGGAGGTTTCACAACTTTTAGGGCACCTATAGATCAGTCAAGCAGACACATACATGAAGCCAACTAAAATTTCTGGTAGTTTCTACCAGAATATATATATGAGCAAATGGTCTCCAAGTTTTCAAGACAAATGGATTTGAATCCCAACAGTGAACGGCTGGTCTGTTCCCGATAAAACATAAAATCTACATCCTTTCAGAATTTGTCCAGGAGCACATTTGAATGAAATCAGTGAAGAAAAAGAGTCCCATACAGTGTATTTGCCTACTTTTAAGGCTCTTTAACCAATGGGGATCCCCACAATTATTCTAGAGGATAGGTATTTTCCACAAGGCCTTTTGTTGGTTTAAAACAAATTGTTATGCACTCCATTTTTGTTCAGCTTTTAGATTCAAGGAAACTAAAAACCTCAGAATTATTTTCAGGTCAAAACCATGAGACCCAAAGAAAAAGGGCTAATTTCACATAGTTTTGATACTGAATCATACGGTAAAGCTGCATTCACACGGTAGTTTTTAGGACAACGTGTTTACCCAAAACTGGATAAACAAAATCTGCGAGGAGTTCACCCACAAGTGCATTCTTAAAGAGTTCATTCTTGGCACAGATGGGGACAACTCCCATCAGCTTGAATGGAAAAGTCACCTGTTTATGCCAGGACTAACTTTGGTCTCCAGCACCTACAAAAGTAAGACATCTCTTATCCTTGTGGGCACCAGCATCCCCACAGCTACCTGAAGTTTCACACCTTTGTCAGGTCACTCTTTTCCATGAGGTAGACAGCAAAAAACAGTGGTCAAGCAGGGTGTGGGCTAGTTTGTTTTCAGAGATATTCAGTACACAGCAGATACTGTGCCATATTTAAGCAAGAAAAAGAGCACTGGTTCTGTCCATCGTAAGGACTTGTTTGGAATTATAAAGACATATGGTATTTTTAGAGGCTGAAACAAACATACTGACTCACACTCACCACTGCCAATTGAGAATAAGGCACATTTACTGATGTAACCAATGTTCCACTTCAATCTGCTTTCCCATCAAACCTCAACGTTTTATTTTAGCTGCAAAAAGGTTTATTAAAACCCTGTAGCCACATGATAATTCTCCCAACTAAGAAATGCACTGTGAGGCTCAAAAAACTCAAACCTATGCAGTCCCACTCCTTTTCAAAATCACCCTAAGCTGCCTTCAGGATTCCATCAAGTTCATATTTTATTGTGCTGTTTAATTGAAAAGAAAAACAGTTGTTCCTCTGATTTTTCTTTTTTCAGATGCAAAATCAAGGAAGTATGGGGTAATATCTCCAACTCTGTCACCAAATCCACTTTGCGAATTCATCTTCCTGTCCTTAACTCACAAAAAATAATGATTTGTATTTGTACAACAACAGCATCTTCACCCTCTTCCTCACAAGGGAACTCCCTCGTGTTTTCTATTATATTCTTATACTTCTATTCTATAAGAGTTAGGCACAGCTGACAAGCACAAAGATGCTTACCCACCCATTTCAGTAAAAGCTGGAAGTTTAAATCCTACAACTTGCTCTGTGTGTGGGTTTTTAACTTGTTAGATGGAAGATGGTGAACATGTTGTATTTATCACTTGGTTGCAAAGATACCTTAGACCTGGAGCAAGAATATCTTTGCAAGAAGTTGCCTAAGCAAGGGTCTTCTAGTTTTCTCTAGCTCTGCTCTGCTCTAAGCAAAGCAGCTGAGTGAATGACACACCACTTCTCTCCTAGATGACAGCAAACAAAAAAACACAGGAAAAAATTTGTACCGTAGTGAATCATATGCATATTTTGACTGGTGGAAGCTCTGCCAGAGAATGGAAAGAAAGATTAATTTAGTCGGTTTATCCCCTTCCTTCGACTTCCAAGGCAGACTTAAACAGTGCCTTCTCACAAAGCCTGCCCACACCCTGGCTGGCCTCCAGGGAGGCACTGGTGTGTGCCGGCTGTGTATCAGACAGCACTTTGTCCTGGCCAGGATGTGGTCTGCCTTTGTAACGAGGCCTATGCAAACGGGCGCCCATCAGCCCTTGCAGCCTGGCCCTGGCAAACACCACCCGCTCCTTCACCAGGCATAAATGAACTGTAACTACCTCAAAGCAGAGCAAACAGTGTAAGAAAAGGAGGGAAAACATCCCGATTTAACCAGATTAACGATAACGGCTCTCCCGAGGGAAGGCTCCCTGAAGAGGAGAATTCAGGGAGTTATTAGCAGCCATTTACCGCTTTTCTCGTTTGTGATGTGCCATGCAGTGAAAAATGCAAGTCCATGACTTCCCTCTTGGAAGTAGTTGGGATGATTATTAGCTTCGGAGAAGACGGATTAGTCACAGCACAAAATGCTGTCCTAAACCTTTCATATTTGTTTTGCATCCCCAGCATTCTGCTAAAAATAAAAGTGACAGGAAAAAAACATCTGTGCTGGGCTTAGAAACAAACGCACAGCCGAGCCGCCGAGACCATCACCATTCTTCTACTGCACTAAATACTCTCCCCACTCACCATGAACCTTTTTTATTGCGATTTCTGCTTCAGTCTGGAACTAGTGGAACTCAGAAAAACTGCTTCTTATCAGAAATTGCTCTTGCAATGTTTGTATTGGGAGAAGGAAAACAATGAACAGCAAAGAATTCATAGAGTTTTTGCTCAAACTTTCTTACCTTAGTACTGCCACCATGTTGTTAATGCACGATCTTGGGAAGAAAGATCAAAAGGGTTTCCACTGTGTTCCATTTTCAGGGATGCAGGGCTCCATTTCTGAAAGCAGAGAGATTAGAGTGACTGAAACCCGAAGTACTGATACTGTGCTGGAAGAACGGGTGCTGACAGCAAGCTCTTAACTCATCAGCAGATGTAGATCTTGTCAACTGTCTTTAAACTTGGTCTCAGAGTCAAAAATCCCCTGAGAACAGCAAGAAACAAGGAGCAGCCAGAGTGGCCTCTGTCATGATTAACACAAGATATCCACTCCCATCTATCTACAGACGCCATCACCATGCCTACAGAAAACACAGTTTCAAGGGACTGTTAGATCCAGGTATATCATGGATATCCAGGATAGTGGCACACTTGCAACAGATTAAAGCAAAGATGTGTCCAAGCAGATACAGCTGACAAATAAAACTCCTCTCAGAACACTGAGCTGTTCAGTAACTTAAACACCGGGACCCAAGTGTGAAAGTCCACAGCCCCTCCACTTTCTTCACTGTTCTCAGGCCCAGGACAAATTATAAAGAAAATAGAAAATAGAAAATAGAATAGTTCAATGTGCTGGGCCCACCATATTTGCAGCACCCTCGGGTAAAGAGACTCACATGTCATTCTGACCTCATCATAGAAGAGGTTTGAGACCACTTCCACTAAGTCTTTACACCAAACTTCAAATCAGCAGGGTGATTGTACCACATCTCAGGTGCCAAGTGATAGAACAGAAACTTTACACTCTGGGTCATTTCAGAAAAAAACAAAACAAAAACAAACAAACAAACAAAAAACAAACAAAAACAAAACAAACAAAAAAACCAACCAAAAAAAAACCTCTTATAATGCAAGTCTTGTTAATCCAGAAGCTTCTCAAGGAATACCATGAGTAACAGCTCCCAACATCAAGCAGAGATCAGTTATCAAACCCTGTGCCAACAAGTTAATAGAATTTGATCCTCCTCTGTTCATCTATTCCTTCTTTGGGAAAACTGAGGACCTTCATTGTCCACAAATTTTTAAACGGAGATTCCCCAGCTGCCAGGCACAGACGGACTGTAAACTGCATCCAAACTGCAAGGACAATATCCACCAGCATCAGCAGGTACTTGGCACCCTGCAGCTCCCTGCTCCTGGTTTGGGAAAGTGCTGCTCTAACCAAGAGGTCTAGGGCACAGCAATGGGAGGCTCTTCCCTTCACGTTTCTCTGAGCACTGGCTGCCTCTCAGGGCTCAGTACAGAAGGGACTCAAGAGCACTCTTGATCTTCACTTACTGCTCAGTCAAGGATTTGGGATCTTTTTGAGTACTAAATCCTCATTTCTTGCACTGCTGTGACAGCTGAGGGTCAAGTCAGGAGTGGATCCAGTACAGGCTGGTGTTATTCCAGGGTGCTCTGAATCGGAGAGCTAGGAATTGTTGTGACAGAACATCCAACCAAACCTCTTTTTCTTTTTAATCTCAGTTGTATCAACACGGAGGTTATACAATATACTAGAACAAACTTTCAAAAAAAACTAATGTTAGGTTTATAAATCTTTCTTACACACTTACAAATCACCTGTGCCTGTCTGCAAAGATTTCAGTTGGGCAGTAATACTCGTCTCTGTTATTTCACAGTCTGCAGCAACTTCTTCCTTCACGTTCTGTTTCAAATGTTTTTGTCTCCCCTTAGTACCACCCCCTTCCCCAGCCAGTCCCACTCTGCTCCTAATGGAGATAGGGTTAAATTTACAAAGTGTTTTTATCCTAATTACAAGCCTTTCAGCTAGTACCTTGGTTTTAGCCTCAGCAGGAAATGATATGCAAAATATACTTTCATGCATCTGACAGTCCCCCAAAACTACCGGTCATATAAATTCTGCCAATTTACTCTAATTAAAGCTAAGCAGTGTCGTGTGTGCTTAAACGGTCAATCTGTCTTGAAGTAATTACACCTGAAGGCAGGAATACATCAGAGTTTCCTTCTCCTGGAATTAAACTCAGATGGGCAACTGAGAAACAGTCAAGGGACATTTGCTAATGATTAAATCCAAATCACATCTCCTTTCAGTGCTCTTACCAAGTACAAGCTGCTGCATGGATGCTGATGGATTTGTGGAGGAAGGAGGCAGATGGTACAAGGCACTTGTCAACACGGCGCTGCCTACACAAGGCTCTCTCTCACACCCAGTGCTGCAGAGGCTCGTGCTCTGAAGCAAATCATTTGGGAGTCAAAATATGAGACTCTCCGGGAGAATTTAAAGTATCACATAGTATTTTCACAACCGCTGGTAAGATTTCAGGTGATTCTCCGTGCTTTGTTTCATTTGAAGGCAACCGCTGCACCCACGGAAGATCAGCTTAATTCACCCTTATTATCAGCTATGGCCACCAGCATAAAGATGATAAAGGCCCTCTTCCAAATCAGATGCTGAGTTCAGGGCTCTCTCTCTCTCCTGTTAGAAGCTCTCATCAGATCTTTGCATTTCATTTTGTTTTGTGGGGTCAGCTGAGTATAGGGACCCTTAGATTGTAATTAGATTCTTTGTTGGAATTTCCCTTTTCAAAGGGGCAGCTTATTCAGGAAAAAATGTGGGCAATCTCATGTCTTGATGTAAGCAAAGATGGGAGAAGAGCCACCAGACAGAGTTCCCAGTGGGCTGGAGAAGTCCCAGCTTCCACACTGCCATGTCACAAGACATCTCCCATGTCTTGATGGCCCTTTAGAGAAGACCTAAAGATTATTTCTAGAAATAGCAAAAACACTGACTCAGTTAGGAAAAGATGAAGAGGCTGCATTGCTCCATCCAAATCCTCCTTCCTGCTCTCACATACAGAGCAAAGAGCACAGAAAGCACAGAAGGAAAGACAAAAAACACAGATTATTAACCACTAACCACACTTACACAACCGTATTTTGCTGTGCCACTCAACAGCACGTAACTCCCAATTCCCATAACTCCCAATGCTCAGAGACTGTTAGTCAGAAGGATGCTTACTTTGGCCCCCTAGGAGCTGACAAATTCCGCTTTATCTCCCTGGGATCTGACGAGCCCATCCTGTCACACGGGAAGATGATCATGAATGACAATGCAATGAGTAACTTCTTAAACAGGCAAAAAAAGAATCTGACTTGAGTATTCTGCTTAGATTCTCATCCTTTGCTGGTTCACTGGCGTGGTGCTAAGGTTCCCAAAAGAGAAGGGCATACTAGTAGAAGAGAGTCTGCTTCAGCGGGAACCAAATTTGCTACCACTTCAGGAAATAACGGCATCAATTTATAAAAATTTGCATAGACACATCACTAAAAGATTAACCTAAATCCTTTTATAGCCTCCAAAAACATAATTTGAAAGATGCTATAAACTATGAAAGGATAAGCAAAAAGACAACTCTAAATCTGTAAGCTTTCCATGATTTGTCCATCCTCAAAACAAACCGAAAAAAGCAGCCTTTTGTCAATTTTATATTTGTACTTCTTTTACAAGAGGTGAAACTATGTCCCCTCCCATTATCCCATTAATCATCTTCCCTATTTTAACACAACTATGGTTTTATTTTAGTTAGATTAAAATATTTAGAGTGATACCTATGTAGGAGTCAGTATTCTTTATCCCTTTATTCCAACACAATCCAGCTATACTCATCACAACAGGCCACCCCTCTGGACCTGGCCCTTTCAAAAATGCCAGAAATAGATCCCTTCAGGTGTACCAAAAATATTCTACTGGTACTTACCTAGAAATCATCTGGGTTTTCAAAATGCAAGCATAAACATGGCAGAAATCATTCTATGACAGAAACCACTGTTTAGTTTCTGTTATGTTAAAATACTTCCAGATTAACCTGCTAAAGTACTCAAGGAAGGGGGGGGATGCTTCCGAAAGCTGCTTTGGGGTTAGAAAAATGTGCAGTATCAGGCACAGGAGAGAAGGGAAAAGACAAAAACAAAGAACACAGTTTTCCATTATCAGAAAGGCAAAGCAGAATCAGCTGCTTTTTGAAGATAATTTGTTGTTGTGAGAGATGTCACAGAGTCCCCAAGGCTGCATTTTCCATTCCAGTCTCGCTGTGGGGAGTTGGTTGCAGCGTGACTGTTAATCACTGCTAATTGTGAAGACAGCACTGGGGCAGGAACAACTGTCCATGAAGAAGCCAGCTGAACCAGTAACTTCAGTCTAGCTTTCTTAAGGGCTATTTGATGTTAGTGATTCCAGGTCACTAAGAGGAGTGGGTAAGTATATGCCTGCCCTAGCAGTGAATGATGTTAGGACACTAAACCTACCTTCTGCAATATCTAGCTTATTTTAGCCTAGCTAACAACAGAATAAGCTAACTTTTAGCATTAAACCTGAACCTAATACCCTAATTCAAGTGTAAGGTTTCTCAGTCACAGCTGTCTCGCCCTTTAAGAAAAGGAGAGGGGAAAAAAAAGCCAAGTAAATATTCTCTATGGAGACATTTAAGATTCCCTTCCTTCCCCCCAGCAGCAGTAATGTATGTATCTTCATCTTTTGGACTATTTCCAAAGTGCTTAACTTTGGAATTTACATATTATGCTTGCCACAGCAAGTGTCTCTTTAGACTAACGCTCCTCTCCTGTGCAGGTCTATATTCTGTCACTCCTTTTCCCCAGAGCTTGCAGTAATGAGTGGACAGCTTCTCCCCAGTAATTGTGGTCTGTCAGAAAAAACAAAGGAGAGGAAGTATGTATCATTTGGCTGTCTCCTTAATTTTAGTGTAACAATTCCATTTTTAGGTACACAGAGTCCGTAATAGAATGGGCATATCCGAGTTTAGCACACAAAAGCTCTAAATAAGACTGCTGCTTTACAAAACCACAGCACAGAATGGCAATTGTTTCTAGCCTGGTAACCGCAGTGATTGAGAGATGCCCAAAGTAACTTGTTTTTTAAAGGAGAAACTTCAGTGTGTGGTGGCAAGCTCTGAAACCACCGATATAAATGGATTAGGCCGTAAGCACAGCAAACAATAGTCCCATTACTTTGGCTTAGGGTCTGTTTTCACAGAGCTAGGGAGTACTTAAAAAAAAAAAAAAAAAAAAAAAAGGGCAAA